TTACTTTTAAAAGAAATAATCTCTCTTAAATATTTTATTACAGAACACATTTTTAACACCAGTAAAAGGTTTTGGAAGACGCTCGGCACGAAGTTCGTCACGATCGTCATGAACGAGACCACCTTAAACCTCTGTGATGCGGAAGGTGCCGAGGTCAGTATTAAATAATTAAAGCACAACAAACTAATAACTAACGACTGCTTATCTAGGGAGGACGAAACGAAGGGCCCTCTGGGGATTTTCGGAAGCCTTGTGTCGCTAGTTCAACATTTCTGCGCAGGCCGTGATGGTCAGCTCCAAGCACATCAAGAAGGGCCCGTTGTACACGTTTCTCACGCAGTGGCTGGGATACGGCCTGCTCACAAATTTCGGTACGCACAATTTACTAATTGAGATTTATGACGAGGCTAACAAATAATGGGATCATCTCGAATGTACGCCCGTCCTTCAATTCCGTCACGAACCTGCTTAGTTCAGCCTCCGAGCGCCTGCTTGGTAGGCAACATCTTGCCTGCAGTGCATACGTGCACTGCGGCGTGGCCTACCCCGAGTCTCGCAGGCGCCGAGCTCCCGTAATTAGCCGAAGAACTCTGAGAATAGCGGACGTATTCGTATTTTCTGGGTGATCCTTTCGACTGCTTCGCGCTGATACACTGCTTCCCCCTCTTCCTCTGGCCCACGCTGTCACAGGACCCTCTTGGCACCACCGCAGGAAGCTGTTGACCCCCGCCTTCCACTTCAAGATTCTGGACGAGTTCGGCCCCCTGCTACAGAATCACGCGCAGCGGCTGGTGGACAACCTGGCCGACCTCGTAGCCAAGACTAAAGGACCCGTGGACGTCGTCCCTCCGGTCTCCAAGGCCACCCTCGGGAGCATTTGCGGTATGGTGGCAGTATGCGATTAAATTAAGCACACTTTTAAAGACGGCCTGTCTACGAAAAGGTCTCTGCAAACAGAAACTGCAATGGGGGTGAACCTGCACGCGCTCGGGAAGGAGGAAGAGTACTTCGAGTGCGTCCGCATGTAAGATGCTCACGATGAAGTGGCTGGACCGGGCTAGACTCTTTGTCTCTTTCTCTTTTACCTATTATTGCAACCCCTTTCAGCATGGGGTGTTCCGTGCTCTACCGCATGATCCGTCCATGGCTGTGGAGAGACGTCGTCTTCAACCTCACGCAGCACGGCAGGGAAACCAAACAGGCTATGGACAAGCTGCACAATTTCACCAAGCAGGTTGGTAGATTCGCGCAGCGCAGTGAAAAAATCTCTAGAATTTCACGTAGATGTAGTCGTGAATTAAATTACCAAAGTGTTTGGGATTTCCCAACGGCCTTTCGTAGAGCTGGAAAATTCCAACCGTACCCTTGAACGATCTTTCCAACGTCGAATCAATTAAAAACTCGAAAATGAAGTCGACAGGGAATACACAGATATCGTTAAAATTAAACCCCCAAGAAGTCCCGCAAAATTGTTAAGAGTAAAGACAGTGAAATGTTCCACGTTATATGTCCTTAGGTGATTCAGGAGCGCAAACGAAGCCACGCCAGCACCGGCGCGAGTATTCTCGACGGAGATGGTACGCTTACCTACATTTTTTCTCAGTATTTTTCCTACCTTTCATCAATCAATCAATCAATTCATTCTTTCCCGTTTTCGTAATTCAGGTAAAAGGCTGGGAAAGAGGCGACTCGCGTTCCTGGACATGATGCTCGCCGCCCAGAGAGAAGACCCCACCCTCACGGACGACGACATCCGACAGGAAGTGGACACCTTCATGTTCGAAGTACGCCTGTGTGGTGCAGTGTTGCATTGTAGAATATGTTCATCACTATGGACTTTCCCCTCCCAAAGAAAAGAAATTAGAAGCTTTTCGTTGCGTCGCTTTCCCAAGAGCGACGCGCGTCTCTCGTTACTCCTGCATTTCTAGTTTGTAACATGTTGAGTGTGCTTTACACTTTTCAACTCGTTGTGTGTATTGCAGGGACACGAAACCACGGCAATGGCGATCAGCTGGACACTATTCTTGTTGGGAAACCACCCGGAGGTGCAGGTGAGACAAATAATAAAGCAAGGGGTTTGGTTGGGGGGACGGGGGGGGGGGGGTAGGCCACACATATCGTGCTCCTTCCGTCCGTGTGGACAGAAGTTTGGACGGCAAAGGAGACAAACAGCTCATTATCTCTAAAACGCACACGTCGTCTGTCCGCAGCAACGGGTTCGGGAGGAGGCCCAGGAGGCAGGCGACGATTGGCAGGCCGTCGTGGCTCTACCCTACCTCGAGAAGGTGGTGAAGGAGAGCCTGCGCCTGTACCCACCGGTGCTGTACATCGCGCGTGAGAACGACAGGGGAATACAGATCGGTGAGTGCCGGTTAAGGGAGCGTGCGGGAGAGGCTGTGCCGGGCGAGGTGAGTGTTCTGTCATGTGCAGCCGCGGGCCCTTTGTTTGTCCCCAGGCGACAAGTGGGTGCCTGCGAACGTGAACCTGGACCTGCAGATCTTCATGATTCACCGTGACCCCAACAACTTCCCGGACCCAGACAAGTTCGACCCCGAGCGTTTCAGCCCCGAGCAGGAGCGGGCGCGGCACCCTTTTGCCTTCGTGCCCTTTAGCGGGGGGCTCCGCAACTGCATTGGTATAGGCTACCGGCCATTCATTCACTCCAAGCTCACGCATTGTCACTCAAAGTGGTCTCAAATTTGTTTTTTTGTTTTTTAAGGTCGTCGCTATGCCATGATGGAGCTGAAGATCATGCTGGCCGCTCTGGTGAAGACATTCTCTTTTAAGTCAGTCCTCTCTGAGAAGGAAATGGAGTTCAAACCCGAGCTAGTCTTGCGGCCGAAAGGAGGCATAGTTACTAATGTCACACCGCTTCTATGAAGTCTAGTCTAAGTACCTGATCCAATGTTTAATTACTGTTATTTTTACGTTTTGTCATTGTAATTGTCTAATTACGAATGTAATGAAAACTAAAACATGTCATGATGTTGTAGCAAAACAAGTTAGATGACTCTTTCTGAACAACTTTCCGTTATCAGTTTTTGGCGCCACAATGATTAGAGGGGTGTATTTACCGGTACCTGTTTGACCGATGCTGAAAACATGAGTCAGGAAATTATAGTGTGTGCATGTTGAATTTTTTGTAGGTGACTTGGTTCTGAATTTACAATTAGCAAACATGTGCAACTGTTTTGTTTAAATACTCATTTCTTATCGCCAAAAGTTATTTTCTGAGAGATTTTCTTCGTTTTTACCTTAATTTGTTGACTGAGATCAAGGTGACTGAGATCTAGCGACAAGTTCCTGGACAAGTGAAAACTTACTTGACATTGGTAATGTTTAATCATTAAATGTGATATAAGAGTTATAATAGCAATATATAGACAGTACACAATAATGTACCATGTGGTTTCGTAAATGTATTTTTCATTTATTTTTGTTTTTGAGGACTCATTTTTATGTTAATGAAAGCTTTCGAGATGGTTTCTATTTGTAAAATAATAATAAAAAAACACGAATCGTCTGAAGCAAAAAAACTATTAAGTTTGGTGCCTTTATTGACTTTGAACTTTTTCTTTCATAATTACCATATTCAGGAGAAACTAATGAGGGTTTGCAAATCAACAAAATCAAACCATTTTTTGCATCTATAATTTTTTTTAGATTTTCTTTAAAGAAATTACTGTAGACACTAGCACTCCACACTCCACTAAACAAAGGCGACCTCTCGCAAGATTCTGAAGTTCACCCGTCAGCCGTGTCGTGAGTACATTTTGAACCACAACCCGCCGACGCAAACTTTGCCGCCGAAAACGCATAGCCTCATAGCCTCTCTAGCCTCGGCCAGGGCCACCGTCGTCTCGCCTATCGATCTTCGTTCAAGCTCGCTTAGGTTCAACCAGGTCTTTTAAATTGAGTCACACCTAGTCCAGATGTATTCACTAAGTAAAAACGTAGTATTTGATCCTCTCCGTTGGTTTCTGTTGTTGATCAAGTATCATTATCAACTACTATCTCAAAACCCCCGCCTCAAGTAAATTAAGTTGGCAACACTGTCATTTTGCCGAAATGTTATTATGGACAAGGCTCTTTTTCCAGATTCTGCTAGCAGAAAACATTGTAAAGTGCTTCAAAGACCCCTGTCAAATTCTTCATGACAAATGGATTTGTCGAACATTTACTACTTAATGGCTTATTTCGAGATGTGAATTGTGATTTGGATCAACTCCTCGACGGAGAGGTACATATTTTTCTCTTATGATACCGTCAATATTTCATGTATATCTTGTATTGTAGGATGTGTGATGATGCTTTACCATCATTTTCCATTTTTATATGAGTTTTAATGATATTTTCGCTCTTCATTTTGTATATTTCATGCGTTCAGGCTAGCCTGTTTCAAATTCATGGCCAAATATGTTAAGGTTTTCTCAGAACATGGTCTGAAATGTTGTATTAAGGAGGAAAGTTAAATTTGCTGCCTTCATATAGTTTGACATTATCTCAATCATTTTAACACTTCTTATTTGAAAGCTGGTAAATACAGGGGAGGGATTAAAGCATACACTTCATTCACAGCGACCCATCTTAAAACGTACCTAACCTATACCTCGTGGGTATTTGTTTTAAAGCTCACCAGAAGTAAACTTGTTTTATCTTTTGTTGAAGGTATCATGAAAGTAAGCGGCAATTGTGTATAGATCACATGTTGGCAACAGAAAAGATATACTGCCTCAACACTAAAAGGCCCGCTGTTGTAATCATCAATATATGGGTAAGTTGAAACGTTCCAAAATGCAAACAATGTTGCATGCAAATG